GTTGTGAATGCGAGGAGTCTGGCACGGCCAAGCAACATGCAGATTCACATGGCTGTGGGTCAAAAATGCGTGCTCAAAATGGAACCCTGGCAAATGGAAACATGGACTAAAACCTGCAGTCCGTATCCTGGTGGTTTAATTTTGACCCATACTCACATGAGAAAGGCGCAAACATCCTGGTCGCTCGCCCATGCCAGCACTGCAGAGGGTAGATCCCGCTGGCGCAGCTCGTGCGGAGGGAAGCTGAAGTAGTTTGTGACGTTCAGGTCCTGACGTATGCCATGGGCCGAGAACACAGAAGAAGAGAGGTGCTGTTGAGGACTGATCGCGAAAGAGAGCAGTCATATCTGTCACTAGGTCACTAGGTGGTTCCGAAAAAAACTAAATATAAACAGCACCGCCAACTTCCCAACTAACAGACTGGCTTGCGAGTCAAGCTGAGTGCCCTCCACTCCCAGGCAAGGCGACAGATTCAACCAAAGCTCAAATCCTGTTAAGCAGCCACTGCTCCTGTGGACAATGCAATCCTCGGCATTCCATGCACTCCAGCCTCACCACCGTAGTTGTCCTGCACTGCTGCCTCCTGGCTGCAGAATGTGACGCACTCCTCGGCTGCAGAATGTCTCTCAGCTTCGGCAGGCTATAAAGAAATAATTTCAAGCATAAGCATGCCCTCAATTTATCTGGTGGCAGTGCATGTCCTCTCCATCTAAAAAAAAAGAGAAAAAGCACGTTTGCGCTTGCACTAAAACAGGGAGAGCCAGGGAACCCACAAGCCAAGAGGACAAGCTAACATGCATGTTCTGTCTCACGTCGGGCCCACCGCTTTGGGAATCAAGGAGAGTTGTCTGGCGCCGGCAGGATTTCCCCTCTGCTTCGTGCCTACATGCCCCTAGTCAGCACCTAAATCATCTTTTCACAACGCACACGCTGGTCGCTGGTCGGTTCAAAGGCCAGCACACGCGCTTGAAGCTAAAAAGCTTTTCTAAGCACTCATCGAGCCGGAATGCATCATTCTGCCACAAGGCAGACAGCACTGCTCAACAACAGCTGCGCTGCCCACGAGCGATGGTGTTAGAGGACATTGCGTTCTGAGAGAACAAGTTCAGCGCAGTTGCTGCATCAGGGACACATCACAGGACACTGCTGCACCCTTTATTCAACTCATGCAAAAAGCGCCCAGCCAGCACGCGCCCCGCGACAGTCGCCAAAACGAGCACGACGGAACGCGTGCTCGCGCTCACAACCATATCCCACCAGCACAAGGACGGCCGCACCTCGCTATCGATACCTTTCTCCGCACCCTTCGGCCGAAGCAAGCCCCGCCAACAGACACCGCCACCTCGATCCTTGCTGTGTCTGCCAAGCCACATCCCAGCGGCACACGGACGGCCGCGCCTCAATCACTGCGACAGCCTCGTGCCCCCCAGCCTCACCTCCCGTGCTGTCTGCGCAAAAGAAGCTCTCACCAGCGCACACCGCCGTCCCACCGGACTTCCGCAGGCACAGCCCACCACCATCAGTACGGTGACGGTAGCGGGAATTCGGCCGGCCACCTATTCGGCGATTTCCCGGACACGTCAGACCAGCGCGTTCTTGCAAGCAACTCAGCCGGCAAGCCGCCTGTTCAGCCGTTTCCCTTCCAGCGGCGATCACGCGGTATGTTCCGACTGGACATGCTTGAAGCCAGCTCCCTCACAGTTTGACAACTAAACGAGAACACAGGGCTTTTTGGGGAAAGACAAAGCATGCTATGCGCATGTGATGCCAAATAATTTGCCGAGCCGCATCATCAAACTTCACCCACTGAGTCTTACCATCGCCTTGAGAAAGCAGGGTAGAATGTGTGTGTGTGTGTGCGTGTGACTGGCAGGAGCAATGCAAATGAACGGTGCTTACATCCTCCAGCCAAACACGAAACCATTGCTCATGTCAAGCCTTCAATGTATCTTCTTAAAACATAGACCTTTTCGCATGAATTGCAAAACGCTGAAGCAAGTGCGATCACGAAATATTGATCAATGCTGGCAAGGCGCTATCCCACATACGGACAAAGGTGTAGTAGTGGCCGCTGCTGACGCCGCCGCTGTGCACAATAACCTTGGAAAATCCGTGTGTTTGTGTGTGTGTGTGTGTGTGTGTGTGTGTGTGTGTGTGTGTGTGTGTGTGTGTGTGTGTGTGTGTGTGTGTGTGTGTGTGTGTGTGTGTGTGTGTGTGTGTGTGTGTGTGTGTGTGTGTGTGTGTGTGTGTGTGTGTGTGTGTGTGTGTGTGTGTGTGTGTGTGTGTGTGTGTGTGTGTGTGTGTGTGTTGTGTGTGTGTGTGTGTGTGTGTGTGTGTGTGTGTGTGTGTGTGTGTGTGTGTGTGTGTGTGTGTGTGTGTGTGTGTGTGTGTGTGTGTGTGTGTGTGTGTGTGTGTGTGTGTGTGTGTGTGTGTGTGTGTGTGTGTGTGTGTGTGTGTGGTGTGTGTTGTGTGTGTGTGTGTGTGTGTGTGGTGTGTGTTG